CTTTATAGGCACTTGTATCAGGTCTCTGCCCTTCCTAAGCCCCTCACTAAATCTAGTCCCAAGCTTCTGACCTTTGTTTTGGAGAGCTGTCTCCCCTTAGACAAGAGCCCTATACTAGATTGAATCCTGCTCCCATTCCAGTGTAGTCCTTCCCTCTCTCACTCCTTCCTGCATTTTACATCACTGTCCCCTGCAACAACTTAAATTCCTCTTAATCCCACACTGGGGACAGTTTTGACTGATCACTAAATTAAGTCCATTTCCACAAATTCCAACATGTTGATTTTTTTTCCTGCCCACAAAATGTTTTATTGTTCCTGCTCCGACTGGCAGGTGAAGGAGGCCTCGCAGGTCCTAGCCATAGCCTGCTGCTGATGCAGGACCCTACTCTAGACCACAAACATTGTCACCTCCTGTATCCCTGGGTACTAAAACTAGTATAGCAGCCAGGACCTTCCCATTTCTTGGGCATGTTAAGGTTAATTAGCCCAAGCTCCCATGGCTAAACTGCTTGCAATCCCCAAGATAGCTCAGATATCTCTAACACTTCCACAGATCTGTATCTTTAACGTGTTAAACTGTTCCTGGCTCTAATACAACTAGTTTATCACATGTTAAAGATATGTTATTTTGTCTACACAAGACTACAAATCCTAATTTAGACAACTACTGTTATTAAGGTGTAGCTAAAGTCTCCTAGACGAGTGGTACCCAACCTTCCAGCCCCACAGGCAGGATGAGTGGCTTGGACTCAGTCCATGAAACAGATCCCATATGGGGTTGGTATGTGGGGTTGGTCCATGGGTATGATCCACTACACTGGCTTGACCCTGGATCTGGCTGTGCACCAGCCAAACCCTGTGAGCCGAGATCTGTCTGCAGAGCAACCCTGTGCGTTAGCCCCACCATGCACCTGCATGAAATAGCACACAGGGCCACATTATTTGACCCACAGCACTCCTCATGGAGCCAGAAATTTGGCAACAGGTGACTGGCAATTAACATTGTCCTCACCTTTCACCAAATTTCTGGACCAACAAGTAGCCTCATGGGCTAAATGACACAGTTCTATAGGTCAAAGACTGAGCGCCACTGTCCTAGACTGAACCAAGAGTTTTGTTTTATACAGCCCCACAGTCACTCATGTAACTCCATGCTCTATTTGTCTGATGACCAACATTTCTAAAACTCTAGCTTTAAATGGGCCACATCCCTGTAATGGATATGCTGGAGTGTACGCATACCCACATGACCAACTTCCTATTATATGCCTCTTGGCACCAACACAATTTAACTAACAATTCAAATCCCTGATTTTATCTTCTGGGAGAGAAAGAGGACATGGAGCACCACATTTGGGGTTGGGGCTGGAGCCACAGAAGCTCCCCCACCACTCCACATGCCCCTTTCCCCTGCTCCTTCTGCTCTGTGCATCCCTTTCCCCATACTTCCCCTGCACTTCATGCCCCTTCCCTCCACTCTTTCACTCCACACTCCCTTTCCCCTGTGCCCTACATGTCCTTTTCCCTTTGCCCCTTCCCCACATTGCCCTCATTCCATGTGTCCCTTCCCCATGATCCCCCTGTCAGCCCTTCCCCTATGCTCCCCCCTGCACTGTGTACCCAGGTTACCTCCCACACCACACACTCTATCCTCATGTGGCAGAAAGTGTGAATAGGTGAATGGCACAGGGGTGAACATGGGGAATAGGCATGTGGTGTGGGGGGAGCACAGGAAAGGAGTGCAGGGATGGAAGCATACTGCACAGTGCAGGAGGGACCATGGAGGAAAGGACATACTCCCCTCACTCCTCATGTCTCTTCCCCTATGCCTCCCCTTGTTCTGTGCAGCCTTTCCCCCGCAACCCTCCACTGCCCTTTCCCCTGTGGTCCCCCCATACCACCCACCCCTTCCCCATCCTCTCCAATGCACCCCTTACCTGCCACATGAGCCACCCTGGCCCCCTCCAGAGCCAAAGTAGCTGCTTGCCTGGGCAATACTCTCTAAAATGAGAGGTTTATTTGCCCATGCTGAATGGGGGGAACCTCGTATTCTATTCCATTAAATACAGTATGATCATCAGAACCCCCCACACAGAAAAATATATCTGTTTCCACCCACCTTCCAAAAGCAGAACACTGCAAGATCCTCCACATAACATCCTCCCAGAATGACCTTTCCTGGCAAAATGAGTCAGAATAGACGGTCATGCAATAGGACAGGATCACCTGGACCTGTGTTATTATAACACAGATACTCCATGCTGTCCCAACCCTTAGCTACCGCACATACAAAAACAAACACATGTTGAGGAACATCATGTTGCAGGTCACCTATCAAATGCTAAATGTCTGTTCCAAGGTCCCAGCTCCTGGCTTCAGACAAAAGATTTCTCAGGTCAGTTCTACCTGGTTAGAGATTGGACAGACTTCTATAGGAACGTCCATCTTCCGGGACAAGCTCCCGGCTACCGGATGTTTATTGAGGGTAAGTCCATGGCCAATCCGGCTAGTATTCAACAGCAAAGCATCCAGTACATTGTTGTCTGCAGAGGTTCCTTGCCAGTCTGAGGAGAGAAAGCAAGCTACAGATCAAATGCAGTTCTATATAGAAACAAACAACCTTCTAAAACAGGTAGATGGCTTAAAGAAATGCCCCGATATAGACTAATAGCATTCCTCACAACTAGTTTCAGTTTTTCTCCTCCACCTATCACCTTATGCCTGGGACACTGTAAAGCACAGAGGGGCACCAAGTGAACAAATAATACATTGAATATAAATACATCATTTCAGCAATAGAGATGGAGAGGATTTTGTCCTCATGCTTACCAGTCTCACCAGCATGGAAAAAGTAAGGCAAATGGACTCCTAGAGAATATGGAATGGTCAGGATATCCTTCAGCTCCCAGAGGGAGTGTCCTTCATCCTCATACCCAACCTGGGAAAAAGGAAAATGATTCTGAATATGCAGGGGGTGATCACTTAGTTAACAGTGAGCTTGAAACAACCCTATGTTTCTAACTGCACTGAAATTTCAGAACTGTATTTCCACTTTTATTAAATACTCTGGATCAGAGCCACAGCTGAAGAAAATTGCCTTCATTCTATTCACTTCAGTAGAACTGTATTGGTTGATAGCAGCTTAGAGTCTGGCCCTTTGAGCAAGATATTCCATACACATGAGATTAGCAAGAATTTAGGGTAGCCATTAAAGATACCAGTACATACCATTGCCATTGCATCAGATTAGATTTTACATATTTTTGTGCTAATCACTACTGAAAAGTAGGGGGTCTTATTTTTGAGAGAGTAGATAATACAAAAGCAGAAAGCCTAGGACAGAGGTTACTGCCCCCTGCTCTTCGCCCTGACAGATTATCCAATATTATAGATTGTGCTTGCTGTCAAGGAGAAAGGTAATCAACATCAGCATTCCTGGCAATGGTTTTCTTAGGCAGTCTTCCCTTACGCCAGTCCCAAACTAAAATATTGCAATACCTGAGCTTGGTGCTCAGGAAGGGGTGTTTTTGATGAAGTGGGTGTCAGTCTTCCCTCTAGGGATTCCTGCACTCTCAGGTGCTGTTGTGCTGCAAGGGTCCTTGAATGGAGTTGGGATTGGTATTGCTGGTGGTTGCTTCACCTCCTGAACACAGGAGGTTATAAGTTTTGCTCTGACGTATTAAACAGGTACTTTACCCCAGAAGGGCTGCATTTCAGCAGTGGGTACCTTTGGAAATAAAATGTCATGAGATCCTACAAGCTGAAAGGGATATGCTGTAGCGGGGCAACATATCAGAAGTGGGCATTGCTACATTCGGTGTGTACCAGTAATCACACCCCAGCCCTTCTAATGTTATATAAGAAACTAAGCAAGAAAAACAAGGTTACCAGATCAAACCCTGCTAAAGTGTCCGGGAACTGGGCTCTGAGCAACATGGCTGTGTAGATGGCTTCTTTAATCTGGGAAACATTCAGCATTCTACAGAAACAAGAGAGACAGAGAAAGGTGCTGGTGCTTACTTCCATGAGACTGATTTCTCAGGTACTACAAACTGGCAGCTTAAGGGAGCAGCCAAAAACATTATCAATGCCTGAATCAGACTAAAAAAATACTATGACAGAGTAGGGTTGGAGTGTTTTTGTAGCTGTGATGGTCCAGGAAGTATATGAGGGACAAGGGGTTTTTATGATCTTTTATTAAATCAACTGAATAGTTGGGACAAAAGTTTGACAAGCTTTTGGGCACATCCTGCCTTTCCTCAGGTATTATGAAAGAGGCATAGGAAAAGCCTAAATGACTGTGCAGTTATCCAGGGGGAACCAAGAGTTGTGAGATGAGGCAGTATCTTTCATTTGACTAACTTGTCTAATGGGGATAGAGAAGAGACAAGTTTTCAAGCTTCAAGAACCCTTCTCCAGGTCTAGGAAAGAAGCAGCCACATTCCAGGCTAAGTAGATATTAGAACCATTGCTTTAGTTTAACCTAAGCATGTTAATGAATTTGAAAGGGAAGTGGGCAGTTACCACCTGTGAAACAAAGAGAAGTTAACAGAGGGAGGTAAGTTATAGTGAGCCATAAAACCAAGTCTCTGTTAAGTCCATGGTTTTTGGTGTCCAATAAAGTTACAGATAAAGGCCCATCTTCTGGGGGTATTGTGTAAGTTTCCTTTGATGACAAGGACTGTGAAGTCATAGGTGTTTTGTGAAAAGAGTTCTCTCATCTCCCTGTACATCAGGGCCCCAACAGCACTTCTACCAGGGTGGACTCACAGGCCAATTTACTCACTACACAGCAGACTGGTCTTTTGAGGAAATGTTGAAATATGTTCTGTGTTTATTGTGCTGGGGTTTTTCCCTTTTTGTCTTTTAAACTGTATTTCAAAGTTAACTTGCCAAAGAATCTGCTAGCCTGGAATATTTATAAAGGCTAAAGGATGCATGGTCCCTGTACAGTATCAACAACTCTGGCTGTTCTGCCACTGCTCCTGCTTCTGCAGAAATGAAGGCTACATCAAAACCCAGGGCTTTGAGAAAATGCACTTCTTTCTCAATGTGTTCACATATAGAAAATGACTACAAACACTCCACCTCAGCCACTGACACATGCTGGGTAGTACTAATACTCTAGGCCTCACCATACCTGGAATCAACACTGTCAGCATCACTTCTAGGTTATCAGTAAGAAACTAGTGATAACATCTCTTTCTGTTGTCACCTACTATACTTTTTTATATTCATTGCTCCCACCTGCACCATAACATGACTGTTTACACAGATCATTCTTACACACACACCCCTAACTAGGGCATCAGGTCCTACCTGTGTGCTGTAAATATAATCTTTGCTCCAATAAAATCGGGATGATCTTTAACAAACTGCCTCGTCACCTCCTGATATGTCACCACAGACCAGGATTTGTTGTGTGTGGTACCATCCAGTTCATACACCTGGGGGAAGAACAAACACATCCAAACAAAAGGTAAAACAGAGCAGTCTGTGATTATATAGGAGGCAGAAATGAAATTTGAGGGAAGGCTGGAACAAATCCGAAGTAACTTGTGGTTCAGATTAGAAAAGGCAGGTATATGCCAAGGGGAAAAAAAGGACAAGTCATATTGTTCAGTATATTTTTTTCTTGAAGGCATCATTGAACAGCAGTTTGGTTTCCTGATGTATCACACAAGAATCAGGCTTTTTAACGTACGTATATAGCAAGGAAGAGCCACTGAGGTATGGAAGTCTTGGGAAGAACACACGTTCTTGCTTCTGAACACATTACAGTCTGGAGTACAGTACTTTAACTACACGTTTGATTGTTCACAAGGCTGCTGTTTTACCATGGGCAGCTTATTAATGATGGCAGACAGGACAGCAAGGGAAAGAAAGGAAGGGTTGGTCTTCCAGTAAGGCACTGGATTAGGACTCAGGAGTTTAGGTTGCCACTAGGACTCCAGTGCCCATTTCTGCCAGAGATCTTCTGGGTGACTTAAGACAAGTTGCTTAATTTCTCAGTAAACTGCAAATAACCCTTGATAACAGTTCTTTTGGTGTACCCTAGAGAGAACAATACTTCTTTTCTCTCACCCTCTCTCATCCATTTAGTTTGGGAGCTCTCCAGTGCAGAGGTCCCAATTTCAGCTGAGGCAGCTACTACTTATTACTGTAACAGGGAGCCCTAACCCTTTTACTGAGAAAGGGCTGAAGAGTGAGATGAACCCAAAGGTCCCTTTAGGAACAAGACTTTTGTGGCCTGGAGGGACAAGGCAGTTTGAACTTGGCTTTGGAGCAAGTAAGGGGCCTCACCCCCTTCAAAACCCAGCAGAGCAGAAGTCTCCAGTCAGTGGAAGCTGCAAAGGAGGAAAGGACGGGTGTACATGGCAGTAAACAGTCCAGGGAGGATAAAAGCTAGAGGAGTAGGGCTACCAGTTTCTATGGGTAATAAGCTACCTAGGGACAGGTTTCACAAACACTAAGCCACAGACCAGAAATAAGCTAAGGGCAGCAAGCTGGTACAGAAGCTGCTTAGTTAGAAACAATTGACCCAGGACTATGAGGACACCTCTTGTGAAGCAGCTTAAGGGTAAAGGAGCCTGTAGATTGGATAATGGGACACCCCTGCAAGGGGGCTGAGAAGCAGGGGTCAGCTGACCAGCAGGGGTGGGGCTGGCCAGTATATAGGCTTGCCCCAGGGCAAATAGGGTGTTTTAGTCTGGGTGGAGAGGAGCTTTCCTGTAAAATGTGGGGAGTTAAGCTCTACAGGGAGAGCAGGAGCTCTTAGTTAGGGTAGAGGAGCCTCTTTCTGTCAGTGAGTGTGTCCAGATGGGGGTAAAGGTTTTGGTTAATGCTTGTTTTTGTCCACCCAGGGAGGGTATGTTTCTGTTAAGAGTCTGTTTATAGAAACCAGTAGCTTGGGAGTGCCTATAAGGGATGGTTTGGAGGCCACACAATAGGGTGCTTTGGCACATGCTGCAGTTTTGAGTTGTACAAGAGCCAGGACCCTGAATCAGAGCAGCTGAAGCTAGAACAGAGGGACTGAAGCCAAAGCAGAGACCAGAAGCCTGAAAGAGTGGAGACAGGGCCAGGGGCCTGCAGGAACAGGAGCTGGCAGGGCTAGGAGGCCTGGTGAAAGGAGACTAGGGCCTGTGATAGATGGTGTGGCTACTGAGCCATAATTGCCTTTGCTATTTCCCCACTAGCTGTAAAGAGCTAGTGGCTGAGACTACTGCAAGGCATGCAGCACCAAATTCCCTGTAAGATTTGAGGGCAACCTCCCTGGATATTAAGGCTGGATCAAGGCAAAATGGGCAAGTTTAAAAGAAGAAGATCACAAAGGGATGGGGGAGTGCAGGATTAGTCTGCAATTAGAAGCATCCGAGCCACCTGCTGAGCAGATCCTGTCACAACTACTAATAATAAACAGAAGAGGTCCTATCCTAAAATTATAATGGATGGGCACTAAAATCTGCCGCAGTGCCCTGCTTTATTATTACACTTACATCCTGCTCTATCCAGAAGGGCTCAGAGTTGTTTACGATAATGGACACAGCCCACAGAATAAGAAACAAAACCAGACTCCCCAATTGCCAGTCTCAAACTTTGGAAATCAACCTGACTCACTTCTGCTTCCCTTCCTGTCATCCAGAAGAGCAAATCCCCAACCACCATGTACATCTAGATGTGAGATCTCTTCTCACACCCTACCCTCCTCTCCCCACCATATACCTCCTCTGTGTTCCTCCCCGCCCTCTACAGAGTCTTTGGCTTCCCTTAAAATGCATATCATCTCCTTCCCCCAACAAACACTTTTAATTTAATGTTGGAACAGGGAGCTAATGGAAAGACCTTCCACCTCCACTTCAGGGCAATAACAAAGGGTTTATTTCTCTACATGGGCAAATGCAGGACAAAATTCTCCCAAATGCCTTGGGCTGAAAACAGACAACCGGTTCAATTTGTAATTGAAGCCTGTCTCCTTTTGTAATGAACCCCAGACCTTACAGAGGAAGAAACCCATTTTCTCACATCAAGTTACCTGTGAAGTATCCAAATTAACGTGTTGCCTTGGAAAAATCCATTTAAACCTTCTGTCATATCTTAAACTAATCAACCCCCCTTAAACGGGGTTGTCTGTATTTAGCCTTGGAGATGATGTGGCAAGAGCGTTCTGCAAGTGTAAAGCTAGTTCAGTCTCTGCGTTCATAACACAACCTGATTGCTGAAACAAAGGCATCTGAGGCTGTTTAGGATTATGGAATAGTTACAGTAGCCACATTAGAGAAACTGTAACAAAAAAAATTAACAATTTAAATATCAATATTATTTTCCTTAGGTGTCAGTGCTAATTAAGCAAAACAGAGACTTCGTACCTCTCAGCAGTATCGTTTCAAGCCATCTGCACTCCCTACAAAATAACACCGCATCAGGTCATGTTCTGTTGATGTTTGTATTGTTTCACCTATTTAAGAATATTTTCCTGGAATAAGGTAAGCTGTTGTTCAAAGTGCTATTACTATTCCTGAATAACTGCACATGATGACACATTGACTGTGCCCAAGATGTTATTTTGGAAGAGCTAAAGTGGAAAAAACTATTCAGAAATAGCTCTGCCAGTCAGTTTCTCCATGAAGACAAGCCTTAATCTTGCCTTCACGATCATAAAGGCTAGACACAATCTTTATAAAGAAAAAGCAGTGAAGAGTGGATGCTACAATAAAGCTAAACAGCGATTAAACCTAAAATCTTGCCTGTTTTCCATATCCTGCCTAATTATATCTTTACCTAAAACTATGAAATGAAACATGTTTTTCCTGCCCACCAGGTCAAGTGTACAAGGCTGTGAATCTTGGGGCTGGAGAAAAGTTAGAGAAACAACATCTTGCAGGAATCCAGAGAACCAAAAAGTGCATACCTGTGGGAGTATTGCTCTTATCTCGACATACTGGATGTTATCCTTGTAGAGTTCCAGCAGCCCCTGATAGAAATAGGCCTTGAACACAGGTGCATAGCAGATGAGGTCAGAAGCAGTGAGAAAGGCATTTTCAAATTTTTTCCAAATAAAAGCCTGAGTTGGGTAGGCCACCTCTGGATCATCTGTCACCAGAGTCAGGTTCTTCAGCAAGCTAGAAAAAGATGGGGGTGGAAAAGGAAGCAGAACAGCTAAATTTGGGAGCCTATGACACAAGTTGTCCCTGTGTGCCCTGGAAACACAAAACATAATCCTTCCAATGCAGATTTGAGCTTCCACTGAAGGACAAACTGTATAAATGTGGAATTCTGACACACCACAATCTCCACCAGTGTTTTAAATGGAGTGCTCAACATGAGTGCCAAATGTGGCCTTGGTATCAGGCCCATGGGGCTCCCCATGGGTCAGACAGTTTGACGTTGGAGGAGCAGGGCAGCACTGTCACCCCTCCCTGCTGCCAAAATCCCAAGCCCCATGGCGTGGGTTGGAACCAAGCTATAACTCCTCCCCAACACAGCTAGATCAGGGCCTGGCCATGCCCCCTTCCCTCCACACTGCCAGGTTGGGGCTGCACCCCCTTCCCCTCTCAACCCCCCATGGGACCAGGCTATGCCCCTTTCTCTCCACCTGGCTAGGTTGGGGCTGGATCATGCACCCTTCCACCACATCTGGTCAGGTTGGGGCCTGGGTACACTCCCTCCTCTGACACAGTTGGGTCAGGCCCCCTTCTCCTTGGGGCTGGGCTGCCCTCTTTCCTCTGCACAGCTGGATGTGGTCCTGCTGCACCTGCCCTGGGCACTGGATTTGGTCCACTGGCCAGATCCAGCTCACATAGGGATTGAGCTCTACCCATCTGGCCTGACAGACAAAAAGGTTGAGCACCACTATTTTAGATGATCTAAAAGACGGGAAGGAACAGGAAAGGACGTGAACAATAGTACCTAGCACAATGGGAACCCACCTTTGTTAGGATATTTCTAGGCATTACCACAGTACAAAAAGTGACACCAATTACCAACTGAAGCAAGAGAAGAAATTACATCCCGCCTCCCAAGTTAAAATGTGGTTCTGATGCTAGTTAGCAGACTACTCTGGCAAACGCTGCCCTCCCTCCAGCATGGTCTACTTATTACAATTCAGTAAGGTAACCCCTGTCAGATACTAGTTTAGTACCAGCACAGTTATCTCCTCTGGTGTCTCTAATACATATTGAATACGCAGAACAAAATGTCTCTCTAGAGAGGAAAAAAATCTCTTATCTTATTCTACCAATCAAAAGATCATGATCTGCAGACAGCAACCAACTGGCATAACTCAGAATTCCTGTATATTTTTTACTGGTTTGGAAGGTTGTTTACTTTGCAGCACTTGCATAAGTCTCCTTAACAAAGACAGAAAGGACAGCAAGTAGTATTATCAAGTGGAGTTTGGTGGAAACAGATAGCAATTGCAAGATAATCAAGTTCACTGAGCAGCTGCAGGCAATTCTGTTTGAATGGACAATGAGTGGTTGCTGTATATTTATCTTTTGAACAGTTTAAATCTTTCATTTGGGGTGAAGACTTATAACTCCCCTTAATGTTTCAATTTGCCAGTTTGAACAATAATCTAGAAAAGTTTCAAACTGATGTATAAACTCAGAAGAGCAATGTAGCTGGTGAACAGCTTCATCCAGGAATGGACAATCTACTGAACTCAAAGTAAGGTGGAACTGAAGGGAAACTGAAATGAAAATAGCTGGAAACTTGGGAGCTGGTTGTCCTACCTATTGACTAAGGCTTAGTTTTGTGGAATATCAGAAACAAGGCAGGTTTGGCTAGAAGGACTAGGATGGAAGATCAACCAAGAATACCTTCCTGATAGGAGATGTTGTTTCTCTTTGATAACTGTGACTGCTCTTTGCAATATTTTGTGTTTGATGGGTTGCCTGGTGGCCTAGCAATAGTCCTCTGTTAAGTTTCAGGGGAGATTTGTGTTTTGTCTTGCTTTAAGAGTTTTTAGTGTACAATTAAAAATCCTTCTCCTACTGCTATAATATGCAATTACAAATATTATTACAAATAAGGAATGCTGGACCTGAAATGGGGTGACAATGAAATGGAGGCTACTCAGCAGACATTTTGCATGTTGTCTCTTAGTCTGTAGTTTCTCCTCACTTTGTTCATTTGTTCTACGGAATGCAAGGGGGTAGCTTTTTTTTTAGAGCAAAATCATATAGAAATAACAACATTTGTGGCACAGTAAGGATGAGATTTTAAATGCATAACAGTCAGGAAATTCAGAGTTAAGGTTTCCACAGCAACTTTAGCTCTGCCCTCTTGTGCATTACAATAGGGCCTTTCGTTCCATTATCACACAACACTGGGCAACGCCAGATACTATTCAGTAAACAATACAATAAAATGGAAAGGAACTGAACCATAACCAGGGAGGCACATGTGTAGTATTTTGTATTGCTGCGTGAGATGGCGTTTGGCATTTCAGACATGTTCTGGAGAGCACTCGGTGGTGACATTGTAGCATCACCCTAGAAACCAGGAATGCAAGAGCCAGAGGCATCTTTTAAGAGCTTATCTAACTGACAGAGTTCAGTTGGAGATTGGCCTCAAGCAGAGAGGGTGTGCTCCTCTTCTGCAAGGAGGGTGGAAAGATTTTGTGTGGGAAGAACTTGGAGCCAGTAGCTAGCCTCTAGGAAAGCAGATGCAAAGCTCCAATTTAAACCAACTCCTCCTTTCCCCTGTACCTCCAATACAGGCTGTGGGGCAGTTACTCTCCAAATGCAGACTGTCAGCAGAGAACACCTGCCCACAGAATGATTGAGGGGGCATCCAGGTCAAGAGCAGAAACACTGAAGGAAAACCACAGGGTGGATCAAACCATGTGACTCTATGTATGCTACTGCGCAGTTTCACTTTAGATAAGGACCAATGGGCAGTTTCATATCAGACTCATTTTTCCATAGGCTTTCCTGTTATCTACACACTCCTTCAGCCGTAAGTGTACAGGGTACACTCCTCTTCCCATTTTTATTTGGGGGAAGGACTTGACTCACACACAGATTTTCCTGCCTATATAAAACTTCGTGTTTATTTTAATCTATGCTCTTTCAGTGGAAAATAGCAATAAAATGCTATGAATCTACCCTTGCCCATGAGACATAAATCCTAACATTTCTTTTACAATGCCTCTTACCTTGAGACTGACTATTGATCCTTTTAACTGTGTAGATTTATTATATAATAGGGATCCCTCCTTAAAAAAGAGGAACCAGGAGGACAGCCTTTGCCAAGAAGGAAAGCTGGGGTCTGGGAGATGCAAATAAATACTTAGATTATTCTCCACAATGAGCTGCAGTCAGTGATCAGGCTCAGCTAGAAAGATCCCTGCATGTTAGTTCACATACGGTGTGTGATCATGGACTGGACGCTGCTATAGAGGGCAGAGCAAGGCAAAGCAAACAGGGCAGAGCAAACAGAGACCTGCAAAGCAGTTCTTAAAAGTCTCTTTCTGCTTGTTTTCTATTCTCCACCCTCAGCACTGCAGAGACAGAGGGCCTCCTGCTGGTGTGCTTAGCAATGTTATTAACATTTGTCACCCATGATTCGCTTTCTCTCAAATCCTCTCCCCAAGGGGACCCTGAGGTGGGAAAGGGAATTTGTGGCTATAGGTGCATAAGTGTTCATTTATAGTAAATGTTCTTGCCCAGGTCTTTTAAACTTGAAAGTCTATTGGTTGATTTCATGGATTGTTTCTCTTGTTAATTTCCAGCCTCTCCACTTCCTAGCTGGAAACTAGGTTAAAGGTGGAAGGGCATACACCCCTTGAAAACACGTTAACACTTCTTGCATTTGCTTAGCCTCGCCATCTTGTACATGATAAGAGATCCTGGCCCCTCCCCAGGTGCCATATGCCCTTGATACGCACTCGCAGCCACTCAAGCTATCCATCATTTCTTTCCCCTCACCCCCGACATCTGCTTTCTCTCAGCCTGTCAGTGCTCAGGGGCAATGCTTTGCAGTAGGAAAGAGGTAGCATGTGGTGCCCATGTTCCACAGACTGGGAGTGTTTCCAGAAACTGAAAGGCAGAAGAGATTGGGGCTCATTCCTGGCAAGAGACCAGTTTCCACACTACCAGAAACCCATCTCAGCCCCCAAATTAACACTCAGAGATTAGATCGAAATAGGAGAAGGTGCTCCATCAGTCTGGTGGCTGTCATTTTGTGCCTGGATATTATGTGGCAACAGTTTATTAAATCGTCTTGTAGTGCTGGATACAGCAAGTGAAAGGCAGCACACGCCAGGAGATTGGCCACGGCACTGGGACTCAAGAGACCTACATTCTGCTCTTGCCTCTGGCACTGACCTGCAGGATGACCTTTGGCAAGTCACTTCAGCTCCCTGTGCCTCTCTTTCCATCCTATTTAAGCTATAAAATTTGGGGCCAGGAACTGCCTCTCACTGCTTGTACTGCTTAGCATATTGAGGCCTTGATCTCACTTGGGGCAGCTAGGTAAGACATATTACAACACCAACAACAAAACAAAGGAGAAAGCAATGTTTCAGAAAAGTGTTCATGTCCTCAAATACAACCTGAAAGAGCCAAAACAAGCAAGTCTTTCATCTCCAAGGGAGCTTCCCTGAGGGTCCCTACCCTCATTCCTAGATATCATGGGTGTGAAACATGCAGCCCAAGGGCCAGATCTGTTCCATCTGGCCCACTGGTAGTCTGGTCAGCTACTGGAAGTTGCGGGCATGGTCTGCTGTAAAGTTTGGGGTCCCTGGACCCCAATTGACATGGTCAGCAGCAGCAGCCCCCCGACTTGTGCTACTGTGCAAATACAGTTCTGCACTGCTGCCTGAATGTGGCCCAACTGCAGTTTCTGCTGGGCCTATGGACCCAGCCCAGGAGAAGTCTCCATGGCCCAAATCCAGCCTGGGGAGAGTGACAACCAAATGAATACATGGGAGATTGGGTTGGTTCCTGAGAACACTGTAAAACAACTGGTGCAGCTGGCTGTGGTTTAGAAAACAGACAGATCTCTAAAGGTGATCCAGTGCAAAAATTTCATCCCGTGTGTTTTGCCTGCCTCCTAGCAGGGCAAAGGGGAACTAGTGCCATGGACCCTCTTCACCACTTCTGCTAGAGGCACCTTCTAGAAGGGATGAAGGCCAACAGGAACAGATTTCCTTCTGGAAATCCAACCCTGAACCCCAACCCGCTTCAGAGGGAGTAAAAAGAGGACTTCCTGATAAGGAACAGTTTCCCTCAGGAGATGTTGCTGGTGCTGAAACTACTGACAAGAAAGGCCAGGAGCCTTGCCTCAACCAGCTTAATCTTTTGCAGCTAACAAGGAGGGAGCCATCTGGGAAGCCAGTGCTGTTTAACCCACCCTTTGCTTTTATCAGAGGAGGAAGAGCTGCACTGCCCTTGACACTTGGCAGCCCCGCAGCCTGACAGGCTCCCAGAATCTTTAGTGCTCAGATGCTAGGTGTCTTCTATGTGGAAGTGACCCAAGAATTAAACAAATCCTCTTTAAATGCATTTGTGTATATTATGCCCCCAAAATCCCTACACCAAGAGAACATTATGGTTGCAAAGTCAAACACTGAAGGCTTAGGATATGCCAGACTTAAGGTTGTCTGTGCGACTGTGATTTGGTCCCTTGTATGTATGCATTTGGATACAGGCTTTAATTGTGTGACAACATACTGTTTCTTTAATAGCACCTCTGCTTCATTCAGTGCACAAGATGGATGGTGCTCACTACATGGATCGTTAGTCAGGGTTTCTTTTTATTCTCATCATTCAGTGTGTGACTCCATGCTTTATTTACTGCAGACCATCCCAATGCAGCTCTAAATATAGAATTATTCATTTTCTTGTGGCCTTTAGTGGGGTGTTTTGTCACATAATCACTGGCCCCTTTTGAGGGAGACAGGGCCTAATATACCCTTGACAGCCTTTCTTGAAAAGAAGGAGCCTGTTCCAGCTCACCTGTAAGTCACTGAGTGTGGCTAGGTGGCTTCTGAGCAGCTAATCAGCTAACAAGCACCTGGTCCTGATTAAAGACTACAAAGTCAGTTGTTTAGGCTTAGTGCTAGACAAAGCCCCTCGGGCAAGTAGCCTAAGAGGGATCTCTGAGATGGCTGTAGTCACCAGGAAGGTATCAAAGGGATGAAGGTTTGTGAGTAAAGGGCCTGGTTTTGGAGCTGATGGGCTTATTGACATAGGTAAACCTAGAATGTACCTTTATACTATGAAGCCAGGGTGAAAGCTTCCTTGTGTTTCTGCTGACTTTTCTGTGAATAAATAGATGCAGAAGGCACCTGAAATGCTGTGCCTAACTGCCAGGAAAGTGTACAAGTGAATGCATTCTCCCCATAGCATCTTTGATGTCCTTCAGAGACTAGGGAGTTCCGTTTCAAAGTAACCCAATGAAGGGAGGGGGTAGGGAGGTCTTTTTTCCTCTGAATACTTGGGGAATCCAGGCACAGAACAATTTGAAATGAAACTCTCAAAAGCACCATTTAGTTTTGGGTGTCCAATCTGAAAGCCCAGCAGCTGACATTTTTAAATGTACTGGCCTTCTTATCAGGGGTGCTGGTTATAGTCGTATTGATCTAAGGACAAAGGCAGACGAGGTTCTTTGGATAAATGTGATATCTTTTATTAGACCAACTAAATAGTTGGAAAAATTGTTCTTTATACTCTTTCAGGCCCAAGAACCCTTCTCCGGGTAGAAGGAGAGTCTCCCGGTGTTCATGTGCTCTCCGGGTGGAACAGAAGCTTAAGCCAATATGCAAAATGCAAGTCTGTGAAAATGCAAGTGTGTGGCAGAGAAGATTAGAGGGGATAGGAGTGAATAGGTGCAAGGTAGAATGTAGCTGGTAAAATGTACAGAGGTTACCTGCAGTTATCAGATGGCAAGCAGGTTATAATGTGCCTGGCTTTCTTATAGCACTTTGTATGTTCAGTGTATAGACCACAGTTATTACTGTGACTGCTCAGTGCTTCTGCACAGTGGATTCCACGGTCTCAAGCTGGGAGCCCCAAAAAGTGAGGCACATTTAATTAGTGACACCCTGCGAAAAATTTGGTTTAAGTAACTTGCCCAGCCTTGCACACTCTGTGAAAGGCAAGTGCTGAATCTTATTCTCTATAGTGGCATTCACGTGCCTTAACTATGAGATCCATCTTTCTCCTGCAGTCCTCTGTCTTGCATCATATTTCCCAACTTCTGTGCTCAGAAGGCAGGGTTTTCATAGGCTAGTCTACATTGCTGCCCAGTCGAGTCCCAGGCCCTACCCCAGCAGACCCTACACTGAATGAGGCATGGTTCCTACATTTAAATAGTAATATGGAATCCTTGCAACATATGCCCACAAGATAACTGTAGTAAGGTTGCAGAGGTAATCTTAATTCTGGCATTTCTTAGCTTTTTGAGTGGTTGACTCTTCAACCTCGATCTTCTCCTCGCACAGGTCTGCATGGGTGTAATGCTCTAGAAGCAGAACTGTCATGTTGCAGCTGCTAGAGGACACAGGTGGAGCAGTGACTTTATGAAACCTCCATCCTGCTACAAAACAATCACCCTTCACTCCAAAGGAAGCAAAGCATAACAGTGGTACAAAACTGCAAAATGTTTGCAAACGATGGCTCACATACCTGTGATCAAACTCTGTGATGTTGTGCAGCTGCTTCCGGTATGTCTCCAGCAACACCCACTTTGAGCAGTTGGGTGGCACTTTGCTGGGAGGGTGAGGCTTGGAAAACCTGAACCGAACTGTGCCCAAGAAGGTGAAGCAGATGTAGCAATCAGGGAGGTAGGTGGCATTGTTCACCAGCCAGTCTGCACTCAGGATTGCGTAGTCATGCAAGTGTAGGACTGCACCTGTGGAGAGGAAGGGCAAATTTAATGAGGAAGAGCGGCTGAAGGGAAAGGGAAGGAGGGTCAATGTGACTACAATTAAGTCTACCCATGCAGGGGGGCCTACAGGGTCTCAAAGACAGTCAGACCAGACCTCCCCCCAACAGCGAGACTCGAACCTGCCCTGCCTCCCCTGCAGTACGTGGAGATGGCACATTCCACATCAAACACAGGGCAGGCAGAGCGTGACAGCTCAGTGCAGGGGAGGGGAAATCAATAGGGACTTCTATGCTCTACTTCTCCACTGGGATGGAAAACACACTGAGTTATTAAAGGTCTTTCAGACACGCTTTGCTGTGAGAACTGGCTCAAACCCCACACATTTAAAGAGGAACTTTTGCATTAGCCAGCACTTTACGACACATGCTACTTAACAGACAGACCTGAATCTATGTGACTTTTGTTCCCATCTGAATTTAGCATCTACCCTGTAGCTCTCTGCTCTGAGTGACACCAAACCCTCAGCTGCCAACAGGCTGGGGAATTTTGGAATTGGAGCAGGATGTGTCCTTCCCTCTTATTTATCAAACCAATCCACATTTCTGTTTTATGTGCTGCCAGCCAGTGTTCCTTAGCTTGAACTCCTTTGCTATTGTCCATTAGGTTGGCAGTTGCCAGAACCTCATGAAGGCAGCCCAGGGATTGTAAGACTTGCTCTCCTTGCTCACCCAGTTCAAAGTATCCCTCTGTGTTATTAAAATGCACATTGGAAGGCTCCATTTCCTTTGTAGAGATTGTGTTTATAGTGTGGTGTTGTGTTTTTAGTATTACTGTATCTGCTGAATGAATCTCCTTCTAAAAAGATGCAGTGGGATCTGGATTTCTTTTCTGAATATATTAACTTGCATATCACATTAATTTGATGGAGTAATACTCTAAATCTCTTGAGTGTCAGGAGACTTCAGAAATGAAACAGTGCATTTAAAAAAGAGTACTTGGTTGTTAGGCTACACAATTGTAGATCAGGGGATCTGGGTTCTAGCCTAGGCTGTGATGCATAGTGTGTGACTAGACAAATCCCTTGAGACCAAATTTTTAAGAGGGTCTACCAGTTTTGCACACCTGTCTGAATGGTCTGCATTTTAGGTGCTGAGCAACTGCAGGTCCTGATTTTTAATAGATCTACAGTGGCTTAGCAAATTTGAAAAACTGGGCTATAGCAATCTAAAGTCACTGCCCAAAAATATTCGACAGTCCTTATGGGCCAGCAGCAGTACATGAAAGCCTGGGTTAACATTACAATGTTGCTCAAGATGCAGAAATTTCCAGATGCTCCAGTTAAGGTTGGGATTTCATTGTGCTTGGCATATGTACATATATATAGGTACAGTACTTTGCCCAAAGACTGCATGCTACAATCCTCACTGGGGGCACCCATATACATACATTGAGGTTGCTCTGATTAATTGAGTTGGCTGGAACGTGGTAATTACCATGCTCCAGCATCACATGCATCAGTGTCCCCATGCTGAAAAATGGTGGCGTGGACACTTTAACTAAAACACATTCAATGAGCTCATTCAGTGAGCTTTAGTTAAAGCTCCACCATTTTTCAGCACAGGGACGCTAATACATGTGACACTCTGGGCACTTTAATTAGAGAGGCTCTTGGAGCACGTGTGTAAATGCCCCAGGAGGCTACTAATGCTTGCTGAGTAATTTAAGAACCTTTTAGATGAATAAGTATGAAATCCTCCTATTTTTCCAAGTTTTGTGGTTTGTTTTTTTCTTTTTAAAGCATAGCTTCATTTCCTGATGTTTGATTCAGCAGTGAAAGGATAATGGCAACTTTGACATCTCGGTAATTTCTGTGGTGACCCATTATGAAGTCATAAGCCCTGGAGTCCGACTTCACTGCGGATACAGAGGAGGAAGCAGCTGGAGGTTTGGGAGATGGCTCTTAGTCATACAGTAATCTTGCACCACTCAGAGTAACGATTCAGAATGGCATGAGCAAAGGAGCTGTCATTTTATATAAAACTTTTTACATTTTCCTTATAGCAGCCCTCTGCCTTTCAGTCCAATAGCCATATTGACGGGGTTCTTATTAACACGCACAAAAAAAATCCACCCAAAAGGTAAATTTATTGCATGAGAGGCTAGTGTGTGCCCTGTGTGGTTTCAAAGGGAGAGTTTTCTATATCCTACTAAAGAAGGAAGCACCATTCCAGAATACCTCTCAGAAGATCAGAGAAAGAGGTAGCAGCATAGAAAGAGAAAACAGACAGTTCAGAGTCAAGGACCTGTGATTACAAATGCCTCAATCCCTTCCCTCCCCCACAGAACTGTCAAGGTCCCAGCAATTCACAGAGTGAGCAATGGCAAATGCCCTGCCAGTCAGACAGGATGGCTTAGGTTTCACATGGTCAAAAATATCCTCCCCACCACTCAGTGTATTGTTGAGGACTAGCTCTTAGTATGCCAACATGTTCCAGACAGCTTTCAAAACCAAATGTGTGAGATGACATTGGGCAAATGTTTGACACTCTTATACTGTGTTTCATCCCAAAGCACCACAAAGTGTGCACTGCATGGTACAATGAAACCACATCTAGCATAAAAAGTAGTTGCTGTACAGCATGCTGTACAGCATGCTGCACAACAGTGAAGGAAGGGGAAATTTTGGTCAAGGGCAGCAGCACAAACGCATGCTGTATTAGGTAGGGCATGTCTTTTGTGGGTGTGCAGAGCAGAACTCAAAGGTTTTAAAGATGCATATGAATGGTCTCAGGTATTTGAGGTTTTTGTGTCTGTTCATACTAATGAGTCTTCACCAGGAGTGCTGTATCCAATTTGAGACCCTCACTTCAAGACAGATGTGGACAAATTAGAGAATCCAACAGAGAGCAACAAATATGACTGGAATCTAGGAAACAATTCCTTATGAGGAAAGGCTAAAAGAATTGATTAATACAATATGGAAAAGAGGGAGGAAGGATTTGAAAACAGTTTTCAAATATCTGAAGGTATGTATATATCTGGCTATAAAGAGGATGGAGCTAGACAATCCTCCATGGCTAAAGAGCATAGGATAAGGAGCAGTCGTCTTAAACTGCAGCAAGGAAAATTTGGTTTGGATATCAGAAAGAACTTTATCGCTATGAAGGTAGTTAAGCATTGGAACAGGCTATTCATAGAGGCTGTAAATTAAAATCTCTATCCTTGGAACTTTTAAGAGCAAGTTAGATATAAATGTTTGACTGAGATGGTTTAGTCGGAGATGTTCCTGCCTTGAGCAAGGGGTTGGACTAAATGAGCTCTTGAGCTCCCTTCTAGCACTTCTTTTCTATAACTGTTATGCGGGGGTGTAGTGTTCAACCTCCAACCCATGGGTCAAGTGCAGCCTGCGGAGCCATGACATCTAGCCAGTGAGGCTCCTTCTAGTCGGGAAATATGGTGGCCAGGGAGCAGTGGCAGCTAAAACAACCACCTTCCCTTGCTGCCAAATTCCCAAACCCCAAGCCCTGCAGCAGGCCAGAGCTTGGCCTTGCCCCCTTCTCCCTAATGGGGCCAGATTGGGACAGCATTAAGTCTCCTTCCTGCTCCCCAGGGTCAGGCTGGGGCCAGGTCAAGCCCCCTTCCCCCCCCACAGGACTAGGTTGGGACCAGGTTAAGCCTCTTTCCCCCCATCGGCTTGGGTCAGGGCCAGGATGCTCCCCACCCCACTCCACGTGGTTGGATGGGGCCCCACCTCAGGCACCACATTGGATCTGGCCAGATTCAGCCCACAGACAGACCAGGTATTGCCCATCCAGCCTGCTGGGTGAAAAGTTTGAGCATCACTAGTATAATACATACATTCCATAGACCACAGAAACCTACAGTCTCCAAAGGGCTAATAGACTAATATTGTGTGTAGTTACCTGTGTAAGGACATGTGAACAATAACATCATGTTCAGTTATATCACGTCCGTAACAATTATGCAATGAATTTAGACAAAGAGGCTCTCCTTAGTTCTGGATATGGGGATGAAAGGTTTACCATGTACAACTATACTGCAAGTCCACAAGTCTGGAAATCCTTACATACTAATCTAGTCTTTCCCTTCCCCAAGCTCAGAAGAGGCAGATCCTTCCAGGATCTTCACAGGACCTTGTCCTGGTCATTATGGTTTGGGTGCAGCGTGAGGGCCACATGGTCATATTTCTGCTCTCCACTGCTACTCCTGTTTGAGTGGAGAAAGCTCTCAAGGGAGAAAACAGGAACCCTACCTTTGGGCATGCGTTTCAAGATGCTGAACACTGTGCTTTGGTCAATGAGGCTTCTGGCCTTGAAGAAGTGCATGCTGGGTGGGAACTGTCCAGTACTGATGGCCTTGGCCACTTCCTTCTCCTTGAGGGTTATGAGCTTCTCATTGAGCTTCTGTTCCCAATTCCCAAGCACCAGGTTGCCACCTGTCCGGTGGGCATCCTCTTCCTCCATCAAGAAGTCCCGGTCCTTCCACAGTGGGAAGGAAAGGCAAAGAGAAACCAGACCGGTGACAAGCAGTAACAGCCATCTGGTTGGGCCAGCTGGAGACTTCATGTCAGGGACAAACCTGGAAGAATCAGAAGGGTGAGTGCAAACCAAAAATCCATATTTGAAAGTTGGCATGTTAAGTCTTTAATGGAACCAGTGGATCGTGTGTGTAGCCTTCCTGGCAAAGTACCCTTTCCTGTGAAACAGATCTGTCAAATAGCATACACGGCACTGATTTCTTCTTTATTCAAGAGGACAGTCAGTTCTAAGGTGTTCTGAACACAGAATTACTTTTGAGTAGTAGGATCTTGTATGATGTGTGAATGGGGTTGGTCAGTGTTGGAACAGGCTGACTATACATCATTCCATCTAGTGTCCTCAACACTAACAGGACAAGGTCTGTGGCAAAAGGCTGGGTCTGTAGGCAGAGGTTAGGGAGATCAGAGCACTGTGCTTTTGAGCCAGCCCAGGGGTTAAAGGACAGGTGATTCAAAGTGCTGGTGAGCCAATAAGTAGGTCAGGATATATGTGCAGAGCAACTGAAGGAGACAAGTCCATTGTAAGATGAGATACCCAGAGCTTCAGAACCTCCTGTTCTGCTACCATATGGCCCAGAAGAGACTCTGCTGATCCCACTGCTGATGTATTCTAGCTGCTAAAAGGGGTAGTGCCAAGGGGCTTCATATAAAGCCCATAGTACAATATTATCCTGTTCACAGCAGAAATCAGCATGGGGTGCTTGGCTACCGGCACCATAAGGGGTAGTAGGAAATGGAGAGGGGAGAATGTGGTGAGTAGTGCTGTCCATAACTAGGAGTTTTGCCCTAGGTCTAGGCATTCTGAGGCATCCAGACTGACTGACTCTTTTTGTAATGGGTCTTTCTTTATAGTGGGTGTATGTGGGCAGTAGATGGGGAAGGATGCTGACCTAAGAACTTTCCCAGACCCAAAAATTTCCGTGGGTGGCAATGATAATAGAAATACATAGGTCAGAGAAGCCAGACCCCTGCAAATGAAAGAATTCTACCCTTCCCAAAAGAGCACTGCTGCAATACAATCTCCTAACAATGGGCTTCAGTCTGGAGGATCACTGATCATGGCAGACCAACTCCCGCTTGAGAGAGGCTCAGGGTTGTAAGGTGGTTCCCTCTGTACATGATGTCGGCATACATACACACTTGCAGCTTCAGCCCTTTTCCCAGTCCCCCCCTGACTGCAGCTCCACAAGCCCCTCTCCACCTATGTCCTATCAAGCTCCCAGCCAAGGCTCTGGCCAGCAGCATCATAGAATTTGAGGTGCAACTCGACTCCGAAAAGAGAAAATTACACACCAACCCAAGACTAGTGTGGCTGTGAGCCGAGAGCTTGGGGGAGGGGGGGGAAGGGAGGGGGAAAGGGGGAGAAGCTGCTGTAAAAGATCTCACAACAGCCCTGCTAGAGACCAAAGCACTTACAGTTGATTTTTCTCTTCTTTGTGTCCCGAGTTCATCCAGCTGCAACTAGGGCAGCAGGTGCTAGTCACCTCTCTTGCAAGCAGCAACTGTCACCAGCCATAGAGAGGGAGAGAGGTTTGACTGGGCAGGCACAGCAAAACAGCCAGCAAAACAAGGAGCAAACCAGCCCAACCACTAGACAGCTTCACTTCCTGTATTGGTTTCACTTCATTCAGCTTTATTTATCACTCCTTTGTTCCTATGGCTTCATAAATATATAAGGGTGGGGGGGAGAGGAGGTTGAGAGAAAGAGAAACTAAGGGAATGTCAGAACCAGAAAGCCCTGGCAGGCCAGGTGAAGGGGCTGAGGTAACAATAGGCTGACTTAGCAGGAGGAAATTCCAGAGCAGCATGGAGGATGGGGAATAGAGACTGAGAGCAGCAGGACTGCATACAAAAACATCCCCACATCTCCTCCACACAGGATAAAGAATACCAAAGGAAGAGGTTTGCTGTGATTTTTAACCCGTTCACTGCCCTTTTGGGAGGAATCCTTGTCACCTCGATGTAACTGTCACCCATCCATAATCTGACACGGATACACAGATGATAAGGCACGCTGGAGGAATTGGTTGAGTCTGGGCTCTCTGATCTGTTTGGCTTTCCCACTCTTGGGGCCCACCCAAACTGCAGAGAAAAGCACGTCAGCTGAGCTATTTTAACACATGGCAGGGTCATGCAATTTTAAGCACGCACTGGTTTGGCTAGCAAGTGCTGTGTAAAAAACCAAAAAAAAACGTACAAAAGCTCCCTCACTAGTCCTTTTTAAATATAGCTTTAACTGGTTTTACCCAATCCACAATGAGTGAGCAAAAGAAGCCAAAGTCAATAGAATTATAGCTGGGGTGAAGCCAGCAGACTCCTAGCAGAGTTGAATTTAGGGCATGCCTTCTCTCATGTATGTAAGTCAGGAGTCACTCTGGCCAGCTCCTGTACCAATGTAACTCCATGTAGAAAAAAAAAATTGTGACAACTATTGTAGCTTTCAG